GAATCTAGTCTCTCTTCAACCACCTACAAGCATTTTGTTGGTACCTCTTATGATATTTATCATTTTCTACTTTGTAAGACGGGAGAACCCTTGTATTCTACTCTATTACAAGTTATCACCAAAGAGATGTTGCCTGTAAGTTTGAAATACACATAATGGCCCATCTCTGGGAACCCTGCCCCCAGAAAATGAGCGTTAAGTTAAAATACCTTTGTTCAACTCACGGGAAACATCTTGACCAGGCCATCTGGGAATAACTGCAGGAAGGGAGAAACACATTCCCTCTGGAGGCTGTCTTGAACCACAAAAAGCTTGACTTTATTCACTCCCCTTTTAGTATAAACAAGGCTATTATACTAATACCCTTAAGCCTACTATTAGCCCTACTACTCAGGGCTTCCCTGGTGGCTCAGATGGCAAAGAGTCTGCCTGCAATGTGGGAGACCTGGGTTCAGTCCCTGGGTCAGGAAGAGCCCCTGAGAAGGAAATGGCAGCCCACTCTGGCACTTTTGCCTGGAAAATCCCATGGATGGGGGAGCCTGGCAGGCTGTAGTCCACGGGATCACAGAGAGTCAGACACAACTGAGCAACTTCACTCTTTAGCATAAAAGCTGTCTCAATTCTATTTCAGACTAAATGGTTGTTTGGGACACTAGTCCACCAATCTTCTCGGGCTGCTGGCTTTCTGAATAGAGTTGCTATTTCTTGTCCCAACAACTCCTCTCTCGACATATTGTCCTGTGGTGCAGCAAGTAGCATGAGCTTGGACTCAGTAACGTATTTCAGCTATTTGTCTATCTTCTCCCTCTCCTCAGTGGCAGAATCTTTACCTTATTTATCTTTGATGTCTTTACAATACCTAGTGCTATTTAGATTCTACATAGATCTGTTGAATTAGTTTGGATTTCTCTTACCAATGTAAAACCTTTGTGAATAAAGGATTTAGGGCTTCTTAGGGCATTTTCTCTGAAATAATATGTATGAAAACCTGAAGAACAGATGCCATGCATACCTCACGTTTTGACTTTAAGTAGTATGTCAGCTCTTAAAAATTTCAGTATCCACTTACGTTACTGGAAAAAATGATGGCCCTGCTTGATTTTATTTTTCTATAAGTCAGTCTTATTTTATAAATCTGTGACTTACATGAAAATGCTAAGATGGTAATACACAGTGAACTTTTTTTTTTTTTTTTAACAAATGCAGAGCTCTAAGACTTAATTTGCATGATAATGTCTTTGGAATTTCATTTTCCTTTCTGGTAAATGTGTCAGTTTAAGTTTTGAATTGATAATGAGCACTGCCTCTTCAAGGGAATAAGTTGGAGAAAATACCGATGTATGTCAGGGTTGGGTTTTCTTTTTTTAATGACTTCAGAAAGGTAGTTATAAAAGCCCTGTAAAGTTTATTCTTGAAGTCATGTTTTATATGAAATTTAGCTCATTAGCTTAAATTTTTTCTTAGATCTGCCAGCCCTGATGTTGGATTAAGCAATTTAATTCCTTTTCACAGTTGTGCTTTTGCCTAGCAGGTGGCAATGTGGTGCTTAGGTAGCCAGAGTTACGTCCCTAGTCCTCACAGAGGTCAGCGTGCTTCTGTTCCATGGCCACCGCCTGCAGCCCGTCTGCAAGTGTGGGGGTTTGGAATAAGGGAACCAGTCAGTAGTGTGACTGGGTATCTACAAAAACTTTCTGAGAGAGGGAAAAAACCCACTCAGGATATAGTCATCATTGTAAGCATTGTTAAGGGAGATAAAAGGCGGAGGTCTGGGCATCCTAAGAGAGATACAGGACAAATTCTACCTTAGTGTCAGTTTCTTTTTGGGGAGTTCTTGAACTTCTGACTTGAATCTAGCATAAATAATAAAGCAGTCCAGGTGATTTAAAAAGTGGAGAATGGAGGCAGGGGGCCCAAAATGACACTTCTTTAAAGCCCTAATATGCACCTAATCAAAGAAGCAGTGATGGAAATACTTCTTGGCATCAAACCATAGTTCTAAGCTAGAAACAACTATAATTCTCACAAGTCCAAAAGGATAAAAATAGCTTGATTCCAGGTTACAGGGCTGGCAATGACCCAGGACTTAAACCCAGGTCTCTTTCCCTCAAGTCTAGTGCTATGAATGTCATGCCACACAAGTCTTCCTCTGCCACGTGAGGCTTTATCATCATGCTCCAACAACAATGAGTTCTGATCCGCAAGCCAAAGGCAGTCTCTACCACACTTCCTTAAAAACTTTGAATGTCTTTTGAACACCACAACAGGATTATCAGTATTCTTGTATATTTACACCCTCAATCTGAAATAACTGACATTGAGTGCTGACTGTGAAGCCTTGTTCTGAGAGCTTACACATACTAGCTCATTTAATCATCACAATAGCAATTGGCACAAGCACCATTTGATCTATCTTATAAAGAAACTTCTGCAGACTCTGGCAATCTGACCAGAACCCACGCTCTGAACATAATACGTATACTGCATGTATACCTACCTCATCGAAGGCAACACAGAATTGTGTGGGCTAGTCCTTCTCACCATGTACTAAGCCCTTACTCTTTTTCAAGGGCCATTAGGACTGTTGATCTGAGCCTCTCATCTCTTGGCTTCCACGTGAATGCTCAGGTTGTTACAAAGCGCAATTGCTAGTGACCGCCAGATTAGTTTTCCTTCATCTTCAGGGGGAGTCTTTTTGCCTGTTGATTCAAAGTGACATGAATGTGGGGTCAGATGTCTTCCAAGTCCCTGGGCTGCTATAAATTTGTCTAAAACAATTGGGTTATTCTCAGTCAGATATTAATGCCTTTGTGTGGATGCTTAATTGTAAGCAGTACAGAGGTGTAAGAAGATTCTGGGATCTGAAGATGATCCTTTTGGTCTCATGCCTGTCCCCAACTCTTGAGTTTACCTGCATCACAATGATTTCTGTCCAGATTTTCTAGAGGCAAAATGATTTTTCCAAAGAATCCTACAGTCACCTAAACTGGTGCCTTGGACATTAGGAAGGTGGTGGATGCAGATGGCCTGTACAGATATCTGCTCAGATAAGTCAAGAGTCCCTATAAGTGAAGATAATCTAGAGGGTGGGGGAAACAGCAGAAGTACACATGGCAGAGATGGGCTACAGACCTTACAAGGACTAGGGTTGGGCAGCGAGTGGGGTGGTACTGAAGGCTCCCGGCTGAGTGAGTGGCTGTCAGTGTGATACTGAATCAGAAGCTCATAAGCCGGGAGGGTGTGATGGAATGCATTGTAGTTTAGGTTCACACAGCCCATCCCGACTTGCACAGAGGTTGATAAAATGGTTTAATTTTCCCCAAATCACATCTTTTTATTAATTCCTAAATCAAACTCCAGTTTGTGTGCTCTGTTTCCATGCCAGAAATGTATGCTTTGAGACCAATTCAAGTAAATTTATCCTGTACCATTCCTGGAAAACAAATTCAATCTCATTTGGATGTTTTGCCTCCTTCCCATTTGGTCTTAAACCTGCTTCTTCTTATTTTTGTATTGTCCTATGTGGTGTTTCTTAATAGAAATTCCCAGTTAGTCCATGGGCTATTTTTAAGTGCTTTCTCTCCCTCCGTCCTTCCCACACATCTAAAATTTCTCCAAGGGAAAGTCAATAGTAATAGCCAGTGTGGAGGGAATTGAAGCCTCCAAAAGATATACTGTAAGAACTGGAAACAATTTCAGAGATCATCTCTGACATGAACACTTGTGAAGATCTTCACAGAGTGGTTTAGACTAGTGATCAGAAGTAGCTCACCCTGGGAAAATGTCACCAACTATGTTCATGATGCTATTAACAATACTTCTCAAATATTTCAAGATGCCAGAGTGTCTTAAATCCTACCTACTTGTGCATTATTTGCAGAGGGAGGGAGAGAGAATTGAGAATGCACAAAGAACGAATAAAATGAATATGAGAAATTGTTTTGCTCAGCAGTTAGAGTAGGATTCTCCTTCCTGGGAAAGACTCATCTTTATCAATAAGTTATAAAACTTCTGTTAGAAACTGAGCTCTCAGTGGGCTTCTGGGTGAGCTTGTGCTCAGATAGAGAGAGCCCGGGTGAGCTGCATTGCGTCAGAAAGGAAACAGAAGATGTCCAGTCTGCTAGGTGGGGCAGTGGAGAGAAGAGAGAGAGGTGAAGTCCCAGACAGTCCAGAGAGAAGGAACAGGCAAGAGGAAATATCTCAGAAGTCCTGGTGGCTCAGACGGTAAAGAATCTGCCTGCAATGCAGGAGAGCTGGGTTTGATCCCTGGGTCGGGAAGATCCCCTGGAGAAGGGAATGGCAACCCACTCCAGTACTCTTGCCTGGAGAATCCTCACGGACAGAGGAGCCTGGCAGGATACAGACCATGTGATCACAAAAACTTGGACACGACTGAGTGACTAACACAGCAACAAGATGTCTAAAGGGATCTTTACAGCTCCTTTCTGTAGGGAAACTTTCAAAAATACATGAGGGATAGCTTAAGGTACTACATGTAACCATCACCTGCCTTTAATTATCAACACATGACCAATCTAAACTCCAACGTCTCTGCTTCACTCCTTCCTCACTTTTTAACTGTCTTTTTAAGATTTTTATATTATGTATCATGGCTGTGCTGGGTCTTTGTAATTGTGAACAGCCTTAGTTATGTTATGTGGGACCCTAGTTTCCTGACCAGGGATTGACCTGGGGTCCCCTGTACTGGGACTGTGGAGCCCTATACACTGGACCACCATGGAGGGCCCCTTCCTCACTATGAAAGCTTATCTGAGCATCACATTTCATCCACAAATATTTCAATATGTATCTCTAAAATGCAAGACTTTTAAAAATAAAACTCTAGTATTATCAACAAAGAAAACTTACAGCAGTTCCTTAGTATAATCAAATAAAAATGGGCAGATTATTCCAAATGTAATTATCTTATTGTATAACATAAAGTATATAAATCATAAGTTTACCAATTCAATTCTCACAAACAAATTTATCTATGTAACTAGGATGCTTTTAAGCAGAATGGCAGCAGCACCCGAGAAGGACCACCTCCTCCAGTGACCTTCCCGCCAAAGGTAACCCTATCCTGATTTTAATTTTGTTTAAGTGGAATGGTATGGTATTTATTTTGCTTTGCTCAACGTGATTTGTAGGAGTAAATTTATTAAAGTGTATTTAAGGATGTTCACATGCACTTGAGAAGAACACGCATCCAGCTTCTGAGGGATGGGCCAGGATGTTCTATACATATCTATAAGAGCCATTTGATCTAATATATGGTTCACATCTATTTCCTTATTGAGTTCTGTCTGGATGGGCCATCTGTTGCTGAAAGTGGAGTATTGAAATCCCCCGCTATTATTGTGCTGCTGTCCATTGTCTCTTGATCTGTTAGTATTTGCTTAATATATTTAGATGCTCTTATAGTGGGTGTATATACATTTATAAAAATTTGTCTTGATGAATTTACTCCTTTACCAATATATAGTGACCATTTTGTCTCTTCTTTCCATTTTTGGCTTGTTCTATTTTGTGTGATATAAGTGTAGATCACTGCCACCTTTTAGTTTCCAACTGCATGGAATATCTCTTTCTATCCCTCTATTTTGAGCCTATGTGTGTCCTTAAAGTGAGCCTCTTGTAGGCAGCATATAGTTGGGTCTTGGTTTTTTGTTTTTTTAAGCCATCTAGCCACTCTGTGTTTTGATTGGTGAATTTACCCTGACCTACATTTAGTTACTAGTGACGTATGAAAACTTATTAGTGCCATCTTATTGTTTTCTGGTTGTTTTTTGTTTCCATTGTCCCCCCACCCCTACTCCATCTCTGCCCACCTGTGTACATTGGTGATTTTTATGGTGGTATGCTCTATTTTCTCTTTACCTTTTGTATATCTGCTCCAGATTTTGCTTCAGAGTTACCACGAGGCTTACATAATACATTTTGAAGCATGTTTGAAACAAAATCTATGCCTTGTGCCTGGCTGATACTGTCAGTGAGGAAGGAGACATTCTTCCACTCTTCTAGGTTCTTCTGGCTGACCTAAGAATTAAATTGACATGAGACACAGTAACAGAAGGAAAATTTTTGTCCAAAAGTTTAGAAAATTTCGTGTATACAGGAACTTCACTGAGAGGATCAGAGACCCCAACATATATGAAAGTTTCAGAGACAGGAAGGCAAATGAGGTATATATACCATCCTGAGCTAAGGAATGGGGTGGAGGCCTAGGGCTTCCACGACATGAGAGTCATTCAAAGGATGGTAAGAGAAGATATTTGGTAATTAGGTGTTGACCCTGCCATACAAATAAAACCACCTAGATAACATTTCTTTGGCAATAACTCTTTCCTGGGAAAAATCCCCAACTTAAATTCTTTCAAGCAACTGACGGAGGGGCAGTAGCTTCTCCAGAAGCCAGAGGGTCTTGATTGGCTTTAGTTCAAAATAACCTTCATGAGAATGTGACACAATGTTGAGGAGGCTCAGCCGGAACCCTTACAATATACCTCTTAAACTGCCTTTCCGTTTCCTCTATTTTTCTCTCTAAATTTCCATTTGTTTGTTGAAACTGAGACAACTGTCTCAGAATTTTTTACATGCTGGAATTTGATTCCTTCCCTGGTATTAAATATGTTTCCCTATATCTATATTTCACACTTACTGATTTAGATCTAGAGACACAATCAGAATCAGGTATTCCTTTTTAGCAAGGATATAAAGAGTTTTAAAAGCAGTCCCACGCCATCTCTAAAGACTGTCATTTTTACATCATTCTTTACAGGAGCTCAGAGGGGAGGATGCAAATAGAGCTGATATCTGGAATACAAATGAATATAAAAAGGAAAAACAGTTGAAAATAATATAAAAAAGTTAACTACTATTATGGGTATGTCATCAATAATGTTCTTATATAGTTAGGTTGGAAACATTAGAAACTGATACAAATTTCACACTTTAATGCAGACATTTCTCTGGCTGGCTTCTCCCTGGCAGCCACCTTCCCTTAGTGGGATGGGGTTTGGAGGTTAGGGAAAACCAGTCAATCCTAAAGGAAATCAGTCCTGAATATTTATTGGAAGTACTGATGCTGAAGCTGAAACTCCAATACTTTGGCCACCTCATGTGAAGAACTGACTCATTAGAAAAGACCCTGACACTGGGAAAGATTGAAGGCAGGAGGAGAAGGGGACGACAGAGAATGAGATGGTTGGATGGCGTCACCAACTCAATGGACATGAGTTTGGGTAAACCCCGGGAGTTGGTGATGGACAGGGAGGCCTGGCCTGCTGCAGTCCACAACTGAGCGACTGAATGGAACTGAACAGGCAGGCGAGGCATCGTGGCCACTCATCAGGCAATCCAGCCCTCACACTTTCCCTGAGTTTCCGTGCAACTTTCTGGTCTTTGGTTTCTCAAGTTGGCTATCTGGTGGGAAGAAGACACAGCATTCTAACCCACTTATGATAGATATGTCTAGCATTCTGTGATGTGTTGATCTGTCTTTGTGGGATGTATAACTAATTTCCTAGGGTCTGACACCATTGGGTGAACTGATAAAAGTGATTTTCTGAGTCTCTACCACTGGGCTTTAGACTCTGAGTTGAGGGTTTGGCAATAAAGAGCTGAAAGGTCGAGAGTGAAGCATGACCGGGGGTCAATTCAGGAAACATCTGATGAGAGACACCATGTTACTTCTCTGGACACAAGCGCTGGAGCCATCTTAATGATCATTTCAGGTGTTCCTAAACCAGAAACTTTGGACAAGAATCTACAAACAAGAGACCTTTATTTCTGGAAACAATGTAAAAATAGGATATACCATGAAACTCAGTGGTGTTTGACCTACTTAGGTGCTGGTCTAAGTAAGAGAGATGAGGTAAGAAATGCTTACATTTTTGTTCACTAAGGTTTTGTTTTTCACAGGGAATCGCTGTTTGGGGGAATAAATCAGGGTATTCTGTAGGTAAGTGTCCTTACATAGCATAGTTTAGGGGGTTGATGCTATGGAAAAAACTGAAAATGCTAAGTAAATTTTACAAAACTTTGTTTGCGTGTATTTTTTTCTAGGAAAAGCATAGCTTCTTCAGGGCCATAAGCAAAAAGGATTAAGAATATAGAAATTTCAGGTTTCTTAGGTAAACTATATGTTACATGAGACTTGGAGGGTAAAGGGTGATCCTGGAAAAAAGAGAAGAGAACCAATGTTTATACCTTCACCTCAAATCAAAGTCTCTGAGGACATTGGGATTAGAGCTTGTTTGGGAAGCCTTGTAAGTGGAAGTCAGCTTTGAATTGTCCTGTAAGGCATCACTGATGGGTATCGATTAGCTGAAATCATGCTCACCTACATGAGCACCACCCCTAAATTCTTTCTTCCACTTTCCTTCCCAAGTGGTCCTCTAACCTTGCTGTCTTGAGCCCTTCATGGACACTTTTGGTCCATCTGTTTTTCTGTGAAGGAGTCTACATTCCTCTTGGAAGAGACCACTCATTGTCTTCCTACTAGAGTGAAGTATTAAACAAAAGAGAGAGATGAAAAGAACTCTATCAAAGGTAATGATACTGTGTTCAAGGTGAATTTTATCATGTGATGAACTAAAAATGGCTTTTGAACGAAAAGGCAGGATAGCAGGGGTTTATGCTCTATTCTAACCAGCAAGTATAGATTTGGCTCGAAGTAATATGTATTTATAATGTGATTTAAAAGGCAGTTAAATTCCTGGACATCTGTAATATTCAGATAGAGTCAAGGTCTAAAGCAGAGTACAAAATGACTAACTTTGAACTGAGTCTAATCCACAGACTTAAGAAGGGGGATGAAGAAGCATGTGTTCATACTGGATATAATATTTAGAGACACATTAGCACTGATAGGGTAATGAGCAATGGGAGCTGGGGGACTCCTGTGTGCCAGAATCTTCTCCCACACAGCTATATTTCTTGTTATATTATGTGGGATTTAAACACTTGGGACCAATTAAGACTTTGTGTGCTAAACTTGGATTTGGTTCTGGGGGCAGGGGGAAGTTATGGAAGAATTTTAATAGGGGAAACTGGAATGATCCAATTCATGAAGCGTGGACTAGAGTGAAATAAAACAGGATTCAGGAAAACCAAGTCAGGAGACTGCTATAGGAACACAGACAGGAAGTCAGGAGAACCTGAACTAAGGCCCCTGTTGGGACAAAAGAGGAGAGAGAATTGAGAGCCTTTTGGAGGTAGAAGCCGCAGGACCAAGGGACTAAGCAGAGGATTCAGAGTTGAGCCCAAGAAGATTTGAGTGACAGTAGGTAAGGTAGGATCATTCATATTCTGGATGATACAAAGGAAAACCATTTGGAGACAATAACCCATTCCACCTTTTGAAACACTTCGAAACCTAGCCAGTATGTGCTACAGAGCCAAGGAAAAAGCCTGTTTAATGACTTAGTATACTTTCAAACTCAATCCAGGTTCTGACAGCTGGCTCTGGTCTGAGGGATACTTCTTGGGTGGTATAAGAGGCTAAACTAGTGGTTATCACTGTTTCCCTTCAAACTAAATATCAACTTGGGAAACTTAGAGCACTGGCTGTCCAATAAAAGAGGAAAGCAAACTCCTTGGAAATTGTTTAGTATCAGGTGCCTGGACCCTTAGATTAGGCATCTCCAGGAAGGGCCTAGACTCTTACATCATGCAAGAGCATCCAGTTCAGTTCAGTCAGTTCAGTAGCTCAGTTATGTCTGACTCTTTGTGACCCCATGGACTATAGTACGCCAGATTTTCCTGTCCATCACCAACTCCCAGAGTTTACTCAAATTCATGTCCATTGCGCTGGTGATGCCATCCAACCATCTCATCCTCTGTCATCCCCTTCTCTTCCCAGTTTCAAACATTCCCAGCATCAGGGTCTTTTCTAATGAGATAGTTCTTCAGATCAGGTGGCCAAAATATTAGAGCTTTCAGCATCAGTCCTTCCAATGAATATTTGGGACTGATTTCCTTTAGGATGGACTGGTTGGATCTCCTTGGAGTCCAAGCGACTCTCAAGAGTCTTCTCCAACACTAGAGTTAAAAAGCATCAATTCTTCGGTGCTCAGCTTTCTTTATAGTCCAACTCTCACATCCATACATGACTAGATGGACCTTTGTTGGCAAAGTAATGTCTCTGCTTTTTAATATGTTGTCTAGGTTGGTCATAACTAGACCAACTGTCTTTTCTTCATAGGCAAGGTGGTAATTATTGCTTGTGTACTTACTTCCCACTATTCTTTTTTTTTATCTGACCTGCTGTGCTTTTGTTTATGGCTGCCTGGTTACAATTATTGAGTACTGTTTGATGTTAATTTAGAATAGCTTCCTCCTCTTTATTTAAAATATTTTTATTCATTATCCCTCTCACCTATTTGTAAGAGTTTTTTGTTTCTGTTTGTGGAACATCTGGTCTCAGCAAGAAAAGAATGAAATATGTGTTTTTCAATTTTTATTATTATACAACTAATAATAAGTCAAAGGAAACCAGAATTGGGGGGGGGGTGGAATTCATTGGCAGGATCAATTTGATACTGATCCCACTGAATTGTTGTCGTATTTGTTTCCTGTGCTTTCCAATCTGAGCAGAATATGCAATAGAAAACATGGCTCACTGCTTATATGATTTAAAACAGAATGCAAAGTGGGTAATGAGCCCCTCTACTATCTCAGTTCACAGAGAGCTCCGTGAATACTTTTTTGCCTGCCCTGCCCCTGTTGATCTATTACAGGTAGCAATACCTTGTGGTACTTTTAACCAGTCTTAATACTGTGAGTGGAAGTAGAAAGATGATGAAAATGCTTGCACAATGTCCTGATCAGAGACAGCTAACCTTTGACGCATCACAAAATCATTGGTGACCCCATAGCAGATTATATGATGAGGTTGCTCATGGGTCCTAGTTCTCCTGGGTTAGAGAATATTCTTTAGTATACTTAGCTATTCCTGTTGATTATTCTCTCCACAACTTGGATCCTGAAACTTTTTTTCCACTACATGGGGAGGATGAGAGAAAAATCTGAGCTTATCTGTGACTCCGTCCAGACTTTTCATGGCCTCTCCAGAAGCATGTGCAGCAGGGATTGTGTATGTAAGACACAAATAATCCTTTCAGACCTTCTCAAACACTAACCCCAGCATTCCTTACTTCTCTCTGGAAAAAAGAAAAGGGAAGTGGTGTTCTCATCTCAGGAGTCTATTACTAGAAGCAGGGGAAACATTGACAGTCAGGCTAGCCACTGCTTCATTGTCTGTCGTCAGTTGGGTTTCATGTTTTTAGTCCTGAAGCTGCCTCATTCCTGAAGCAGCTGGAAAATCACTGACTGATGGTATCCTTCTGTCTGAAGGGATGCTACTGCACCTAGGAAGGGAGGACTAACGAGATGACCTGAGCTCAATCTGCTTGCTTCCAGAAAAGACAGCCACAGTTATTGAGAGTACATGTAATACTGTGCATGTTTTCTTTTCTGGGAGAAAGAGAGGTTCTAGATGTGAAAGGGTATTTTGACTGTTGATGACTGCCTGATGCCCACTAAGCCTAGTTGAATTCTCCCCTACATAACCCTTTACAAGGATGAGTTCTCCGCCAGTGTCCATGATCTAAACTGAAGAGCATGTCACTCTGAGATGTGTGTCTCATGGTAAAATAAGAAATGGGTGTTGCCTCATTCACTGTGTTTTCCTGGGTAAGAATATTAGAGTTTCCCCATAATTTCAACTTTGAAACTCTAGACAAGCATCTGACCATCAGAATGAACATTTTTAAAGTGGAAAGCTTAGCAATTTAAGAGCACAGGCTCTGGAACCAAACTTCCTGGTTTCTAAT